CTTCTAGGACAGCAGTTTAAGGAATGTGTGGGTTACAGGTAAGGTATTAAAATAGGTGCATAGTGGATACAGTGAAGACAAGAGCCATTGAGAAATTGGTTGTAAAAAAAAAAGAAGAAATGGACGCTCAAAGACGTGGAAAAAACGGAAGGACAACATTCTCACCTGGGCTCCTCACAAATACCTAGCATTTAGACTTTACCCCAGGCTCTCTTCCTAGCTCTATCTTTTGTTTCTATTCTCCTTTAAATCATCTGTGCTATAGCATAATGTTTTAACGTGCACCCTATGTTTTACCATCTCCCGTCTTTAAGACACACTGCTTGGATGCCTTTCATTGTATCTCCTCTTGGCCAACTTCTACTCATCTTTCGGGGTCCTCTTCAAATGCCTCCTCTATGAAGCCGTCCCTTATTTAGTGTATAGTATTCTTTCCTCAGAATTTCAAAATGCTTCAGTCATTTCTTTGTCATGGCAGTTATTGCTTTCTATTATGTACTGTTGTTATTATTTATGTACATGATTTTATCTCTCTCCTTGGAATTTAGGCTCCTTGGAGACTTTCTCAAGGTTTCAGTTATACCATGATGAAAAGAGCATAGACTTAGAATTCAGACAATCTCATTTTCAGTTTCTAGCTCTTTCACTTTCTGATAGATTGTGTGACTTCAGGCTTAGTATTTAAGCTCTGTAAGCCTCAGCCTTCTTCCCTATAAAATGCCTATATCTCAGGTTATTGAGGAGATTAAGTGGTAAGGAGGTAACTGATTTAAAGAACCTAGCAAAGTTAGATTCCTTTCCCTCCTTATTCATCTTGATTTCTGTGTCATCTCTCAGAATGGTACAGTACGGATATTAGAGGCTCCAGAAACTGCTGAATGAATTAGTAATTTCTTTGCTATTACTAAGTATATAAAGGCTACTATAGTTTCTAGGCTCCTGATATTTTATTGGGATGATGTTTTCAAGGAATTTTTTTTTTCATTGGAACAGTATACTACAGATTTACCAGATTAAAAATATATACAATGCAGAATTATTTGATGGATAATGGTGATGTCATACAAACCATGTTAAAATTCAAATGAATCCAAATTAGAGACCTACCTATTAGGAAAAAATTAATTAGCTTAGAGTTAATAGTAGCCTATAGAAGCTATTTCTTTTACCATACAAGTAGAAACTAGGCTTTGAGGGAGCCAAAAAGATGCTGCCTAGACTCAAGCAAGCCCATAGTTTGTATGATTGCTTTGTAAGCAGTATAAGGTGACATATACTCCAGGCTTACAATTTTCATTCGCATTTTAACAGATTCAAATATATTCTATTACCAATGGATAAAATTATATTCCAGAGAATGTAAGATTGGGAACCCTAAAACTAGACTGTGATCTAAAGACTAGGTTAAAAACTTGCACTTCATTCTAAGAGTTATGGATTCCACAAGTACTAACAAATGGTGTTGTTTGAATAATCTGAAAGATTTTGACAATGTTGTAAATTTTTAATTACTTGAAAAATTCAGTATAATGAAAACATACTTTAATAATCTGTAAAGACCTAAACCTTCTCTGTGTCACTTTGTCTTTTTTGAGTTCTTATTCATCATTGTTCAGTTTGTATATTATTATGGCTAATTCAATAGTGTATGTAAATCTTTTACTATTTAAGGATAGATTTTTAGAAGCTGGCATTACACATTCTTTGCCCTTTTTAAAAATTACAAACAGGGTTGATCTCCATATGGAGTAGAGGTAGGATTCGTTTATAATAAATAATAAGGAAATATTCCTACTTGACAAACAGCCCTTAACTGTAGTACTGTTTCGAACATAAGATCTAAATAATAATAGCCATCATTTGTTGAACATGTATTGAATGCCCAACATTTCAGATACCTTACTCTGATTTTATAGTTGAGGAAGCTGAGTCTCAGAGAAGTTAAATAATTGTTGTTAGGTCTCCCAGACAATAAGTGATGGAGTTGGCTTTTAAGTCAGGACTTTCTGAACCCTAAGTTAATCATTTTAATGACTGTGCTCTACTGACTCTACAATAGTTATACTCTCATTGCCTCTCATTCTTTGCATACTTCAGATCTCTCTAATAACTAGTTTGTTCAGCCGTCATGTAGCATTTCTTCTTCAACTTTCAAAATAATCTTCCCCTCAAGGCCTTAGTCTTCAGAAAGTATCATCTGAGTTTCCTGAATTACTTACCAAAGTAAAAATTTTTTAAACTAGTATAATAAAAAGATAAGGGTATTTAGTGGATGGAGCAAAGATGTGGTTGCTATTCTCTGTTTTCACATAACGTCAAGAGATAGGAAGTAATTACATTTATCGGAGAAATAGATCATGAGAGCCTAAACTAGGCATTGATGATGAGGGTCAAGAGGAGCAGTTACACGTGAGAGAGATTGGAAGATGACATACCTCTACGGTAATTCAGTGAAAGGGAGGGTGAACAGTCCCAGGGGAAGTGCAGAGTTTGGTCATTAGGAGGAAAATGGTTTCACGATCAAATAGGGACTTCAGGAGAAGGGACAGATTTGGCCAGGAAGGAGATGGCTTGGAGTTTTGACAGAGAGAGTTTGTAATTCTTGTGACATCTAGCCTCAAGCATCCATCTGGATCTAAGCCCCTGACATGTGGCTAGTTTGAATCGAGATGTCCTGTAAGTGTTAAATGTACACTGCATTTGGAAGAGTTAGTACAAAAAAAAGAATGTAAAATATTAATACTCTCATATTGGTTGCATGTTGAAATAATAATATCTTGGATATTTTGAGTTATTGAGTTAAATAAAATATGTTTTTAAAATTAATTTAACCCATTTCTTTTCACCATTTTTTTTAAAGTGGCTGCTAGGAAACTTAAAATTGTATATGTGTCTTACCTTATATTTCTGTTGGACAGCAGTAATGTACACAGAGATTTGTAATAGATAGTTAGAAATGTAGGGCAAAATGTCTAGATTTGGAAATAACCCATTATAAAAGTGATAGCTTATGTTGTAAGATTAGATAAAAATGCTGGCGTACAGGGTATAGAAATGAGAAAGATGCCAACAATTATAGGATGAGAAGAGAAAGAGTAATTCGGAGGAGAATTAGAGAATCAAGACTCTAAAGTGGTACATAGTCTGTTAGAATTTCAGAAAGAAGTAGTTCTTATCATTGAATGATAGAAAGGCCAAAGAGGAAGAGGAGGACTGAGAAAAGGACATTGAATTTGATTGATATAGAAGCAGTTTCAATAGAGTATAAGAAGGATAGATTGCAAGAGATTAAGAAGTTAAGAGGTTGATGAATTAGACTCTGTATATAAACTATTCTTTCAAGCTAGGAGTTCACTTGTAAAGATAGCAATCTCTTGATTGGAGCAGAGTACAGGGAAATTTGAGCATGCTGTTGGCTGAATGAAAGGATTAGTGAAGCAGGAGTGCTTGAAGTTATAAGAAAGAGAAGATAATTTCTATAGTAAGGTCCTAATGCATTGGGTCCCAAACCTGAGTTCATGTTAGAGTCACCTGGGTAACTTGTCACAGGAGCAAATTCCTAGGCAACATCTCACATCTAAAGAAATAATATTTTCTGGAGATGTGTCTCCCCAAACATGTTTTAACAAGTTCTTCTACGTGATTATGATGTATCCATCAGGCCAAACAAATCAAGAAAATTAAGGGTTCTGGTGAGGACATCAGTGAAATGACTGACCATAGCATCCAGAATGGATAGAGAGACGACTGGGTTAGAATAGACTGGTGGACTGTGAACTATGATTAAGGAGTTGGCTTTCATTATTAAAAGAGTGAGCATAAGTTTAGTAGGAATGAAAGACTGAGAAAGCTAAAAACATAGTGGATTTTGATCAGAGAGGGAAGTTTCAGAATTGAGGACTTGGAGGCCAAGCTGTGTGTGTTTGATATGGAAAAAAGATGAAAAGAACTGAGTCATGCACATTGTAAGACCTATCAGTTTGGTGACTCTAATACAGGACAGAAGTAAAAAAGTATGAGATTTGGGGTTTAGGAGGAAGCACTAAAGGCTGAATCAGTAGGGAGCTCTTTAGACTTAGGATTTTGCTAAACCTTGATTATCTTTAGAGAACATTCCAGAATGGGGTGCCTCCTTGGGCTACCGTGTTCTTAGTCTCCGTGACCCACTCTAGCTTGTGGAAAATAGAGTGGGTGCCTGACATTCACAAATATAAAATGCATAGTTTTAACTATTCACAAGTGACCCTCAGGGTTAATGACATGGGCAGTTAATAATTTTTTCCAAGGCTTGAATTTGAATCTCCTGCCCTAAAAGTGGCCTGTAGAAACCAGTCACTTAACAAGTGACTTGCAGTGAAGCCAACAACTTACATCTCCATTTGCCTTTAATATATGATTGTATTAATTATCAAAATACCTCAGCCTGATAGGTTTCACAGGAGAGGAAATTATTTGGCAAATTGTGATATCAAATGGGTTAAAAATTAATTGAGTTTAAAAAAATTAGCACTGCTCCTAGCATATAATAATTGCTTAATAAGTGGTAGTGATTGGTGCCAGTTAGGAATTCAACAAGTTTTGAAGCCAAATGTTTTTGTGTATGCCCAGGTTTAGTGAATAGTATTTATATTAAAAAGTTTGTTTTGATTTGGAATCTCCATGAATTATTAAACTGAAACTAGAATGTTAAATTTGCAAGTAAATTAGAGGGAGAACAATAGTTCATTTATCACTTACCAACTACCAACTGTTTGATATATTTGAAGGGAGCTATATTTCATAGTAACTCATATTATATTGCTATTATGAAAATCACAACTTTTAATATATCCTTTAAGTATGTTTCCATACCACACATACACAGAAACAAAATTAATTACATTATTCACTTTGTTTTTCTTAGAGATTTAGTGTACCTGACAACTAGATTTAGTTGTTTCTGCTAAACAACTTTCTCTTTCGGTCTATTATATACTTATATAATTGTTTTTGCTTTATAGCGAAGAGCTCAGAAAAGAAGCAAGACAATTAAAGCGGGAACTCTTAGCAGCAAAACAAAAGAAAATGGAAAATGCAGCAAAACAAGCAGAAAAAAGAAGTGAAGGTAAGGGCAGTTATCAAGCTTATATTTTCACTTGGTACTTATTCCCTCTCTCCTGAGTTGAGTTTTGTTGTTGTTGTTTAATGCTTTCTTTGGCCAGTTAGCCAATAAAATTAAGTTTCACTTAGGACTTTTGTCTGAGAAGGAAATTCAATCAAACATGATCGTAACTAGTGTTCCTTAATAAACAGAGTACTTCACATCAAGCAAAACTTAAATGTTGCCATAGCACTTATCTAGAAGTACACAGGATAGAATGTCCATTTTTACACTGCATACCCTTTAAAACATTTAAGAAAAGTGTTTAGGCCCTATATATGAGACTTGTATAGACATTATTCATACGTTGGTTTGAATAGTATTAAATGCAAATTCTTATTTGTTTTTGGTTTTGCTCTTATGTTTAGGTACAGAAAATCTAAAGTATTGATAAAACTGATCAAAAGCTGATCAAAATAATATCCTGCTTTTTATACAGGTTAAATATTTCTTTATTGTACTGTGATTTTTTTAATAAAGCTCTAGAATAGCTTCAAAAAAGCTTTTTTACTGAAGATCTTTAGTTTAAAACTGTTTCAGCTATAAAACATATAATATTCAATTTCCAAAATAACAGTTGGAACTCTCAAATCTGTCTTCTTTTTACAATAATAAAATACATTGTAGATTCAGTGAACATGATCAGAAATTTGATTGTTACCTTTAATAATGTACACCAAATTTGGCTTAACAAACTTCCTTTGTGCATATATCTTGTGTAGCCTCATGCTTTTGGAAAGCATGAATATTTTTATCTACTAGGTTCTATAGCAGTCACTGGAGATATATCAAAGCATAAGATGTAATATCTATCCTTAAAGAATACGTATTCCAGTACAGAACAGTGGTACAGCATTTGGCCATAGGCATTATTATTTATTTTAAGTAGCACGAGTAATACCACATAACTATCTAAAGCTCATAGTTCTTAGATTATTTGTACCATGTCCCCAGTGACTATTATAATAAAGGCAGGTACTTGATGTAGAACTTAGAATCACCAAAATATGTTTGAGTGAAACAAATTATTAAAAAGTTAACTCACCAGAATGACACAAATTATAAACGGAATTTGAAGGAAAGGATAAACTTATATGTGACTAGATCATATGGGTAAAATGTAACCCAGATTAGAAAGAAGCTATATTGGCAATATTGAGATTTGAAAGAGTACAAGATTTCAAATATTGTATTTGAAAGAATACAGTGAGGATTATTTAATTTTAAGTTTATATATAATTTTCCCAGGGGACTGTTTCTTATAATTAAAAAGCATTTTAAATATATGAAAGTAATTCCTTTTAACTGGAAAGATGTTTTATTTTAATTTTTTATTCATTTTTGAGCTAGTAATTATTATTCTCCCACCCCATCTGAAGAGCCATGATGGACTAGGGCTATGAAGTTGGCAGTAGATGGTTATTGCCTTCGTACGTAGTTCATGATCTACTAGTAGGAGTGAGAGAATTGCAGTAGGAAATTACCGAAATAGAGTTGTATGGTTAAGGCCTGTATTAGACATAAACAGTGCTGTGTTGATTTATTTGTCTGCCTTTGAAATACTTAATACAATTAGGTAAAGAAAGACTTGAATCTTAAAAGAATGATTATTTCTTAACACACATACAAAAAGAAGATTCTTCTGGAGCTTATTTCAGTCTATTTATATGAAAGTTAGCCAGGTTAAAAATCTTTTTATTTCATAATTAGAAAGAGAATTATATGTTACTTTTATAGTAATATATATATTACTTTTCTGAATTTAATTTTTCTTATATCATCTAGAAATACCTGGATTTTCCCTAAATCTGAGAGACAGTTAAAATTAACTTCCCAAAAAAAGCAATCATTTGGTTGCTATCGTTTTTCTTCTAGTCTCAGAATGGGCCATGCTATTTGTTTTTTTATTGTTTTATTTTGAAATAATTTTAGACTTACAGAGACGTTACAAAAATTGAGAGTTTCCAGATACCTTTAATGTTAAGGTCTTGTGTAACCATAGTACAATGATCAAAACCAAGCAATTAATATTAACACAGCACTATTACTAACTGCAGACCTTATTAGAATTTCACCAGTTTTCCCACCTGCGCCCTTTGTATGTTCTGTGATTCCTTCCAGAATTCCATATTGCATTTAGTCATCATGTCTCCTTAGTCTCTTCTGATTTGTGACGGTTCCTCAATCCTTTCTTGTCTTTCATGAACTTAACACTGGTTAGATATCTTGTAGAACGTCTCAATTGAGTTTGTCTCATGTTTTCTCATGATTAGATTGAGGCTACGCATTTTTGGGAAAGATTGCCACATAAGTGGCATGTCCTTCCCAGTGCACTGTACCGGAGGTAACAAGATGTCTGTTGTCTTTTTATTGGTGATATTACCATGATCACTTGGTTAAGGTGGTTTCTGCTTAGTTGCTACACTGTTAAGTTACTCTTTTTCCCTTTGAGAATGTAAGTACTGGAGGGGAAGATACTTTGCAACTATACAAATATCCTGTTTCTTTTCAAACTTCCTCACACTAATTTTAGCATCCATTGATGGATATTGCCTATAGGCAACAGTTATTTACTGTGGTGTTCTAATGGTGACTATTTCCCTGATTAGTACTACTTTTATTACTTGGAATTCTTCACTAAGAAGAATTTACTATTTTTGATACAAATTTTGACAGTAATACTAGGTGCTCATTATATGAAACACTAATGGTTGTATGAATGCTTTGGAATATTATATTTCAAAGTAAACAGGAAAGTATTAAGACTCAATTTCAGTTACTAGCAGTGAGGTTATTTAAGCCTTAGTGACTCCATTTTCTTATAAATCCAGGGATAAAATGCCTTGTGCATCCTTCAAGTTGCTTGTAAGAAGTAAATTACGTAATGAGAAGACCTTTAATAAATTTACAGTGCTATATAAAAATAATAATTTTACATTTGTAAGAGAAAAATATAGCTATTCATGGTTTCATTTTGTTTCCTATCCAAATCTACAAATTGAAAATATGAATTTTTTAAGCCTATTTTTTAAATTAATTAATTTATTTATTTTTGGCTGCCTTGGGTCTTCGTTGCTGCACGTGGGCTTTCTCTGATTGTGGCGAGCTGGGGCTACTCTTCGTTGTGGTGCGTGGGCTTCTCATTTTGGTGGCTCCTCTTGTTGCGGAGCACGGGCTGTAGGCCCGCGGGCTTCAGTAGTTGTGGCACGTGGGCTCAGTAGTTGTGGCTCGCCGGCTCTAGAGTGCAGATTCAGTATTTGTGGCGCATGGGCTTAGTTGCTCCGCGGCATGTGGGATCTTCCCAGACCAGGGATTGAACCCGTGTCCCCTGCATTGGTAAGTGGATTCTTAACCGCTGTGCTACCAGGGAAGTCCTGAAAATATGAATTTTAATACTATGTTAGAGTTAAAGCCTATAATCAATATGGTTACATATAAATATGACATAAATTAAAATCTCAAAATAAGCTTTCCTTAACTGTGTTTTCACAGTTGCATTTTTATAATCATATTCTTTCTTAAAAGGTATGTGTTCATGCACTTATGTACATTCTTAAGTAAAGCTTCCAGTAGTATTATTTCCTGATTCTATGAATTAATCTGGCAAGTCTAACACTTGCTGACTACTGCAACTTTATTTTAGAATTTAATGTATTATTCTCACATTAAAAGCACTTGGAAAGAAACCCATAAGTACAAGAAAGCTTTGTGTTCTAATGTCCATGCATTAATTTACCTAGTTTTGTCCTTGCATGAATGGAGGTCTCCCATTTAGCCAGATGCTCTAATAGATGTGATACTTTTTCAGGGCTTCTGTCATCTTAGGAAATCACCTTTGATCAGGGAGTAATATTCCTTTGGTTTTATAATCTTTATCCAGGGGCTTCCCTGGTGGCGCAGTGGTTGAGTCCGCCTGCCGATGCAGGGGACACGGGTTTGTACCCTGGTCCGGGAAGATCCCACATGCCGCGGAGCGGCTAGGCTCGTGAGCCATGGCCACTGAGCCTGTGCGTCCGGAGCCTGTGCTCCGCAACGGGAGCGGCCACAACAGTGAGAGGCCCGAGTACCGCAAAAAAAAAAAAAAAATTTTATCCAATTTCCTGGGCTAGATCCTTAGCCAGATTTGTATAGATAATTAGGAATTTATATTCTGACCATAGTTCTGCTTCTAAATCTATTCTATTACCTGAGACAACTTACTTTGAAATCAGGATCCATCTGTTTCTCCATATAGAAATTCTAAGATAAATAAGGTGTGCTATTTAAATTTTTTTAATGTTTTGCTGTATTTGCTCTTTATTAATTCCTTCAGTTCCATTATGACAGAAAATAAAATAATTAAAAGTCATTTGGAAGAAAGATTGTTACTTTTACATCAGTAAATACTTTGGGCCCCATACAATTAAACAGTCCAAAATAAATTGCCATTTGATATTACTTGATTGTAGTGATAGTGCCATGAGTATATGCACATGTCCAAACCCATCAAACTGTACACTTTCAAACATGTACAGCTCACTTGTATGCCAATGATGCCTCAACGAAGCTGCCCCCTAAGAAAGAATGTTGATCTACAACCCAGAAACCTCTTAACATCTCTGCCCTAGTATGAAAGCATATACTTATAATTGAGTCAGTGTATTAATCTTTTTAACACCGATGTAGTAAAAAGCTTCTCTATGTAGTAAAAATGTATATGGGACCATCCATTTTTCTCTTCAGTCTTCCCAGTAAAGCTCAAGATCTGCTATTTCTTATATCACAAAGATATTGTCAGATAATAAATATAATTATGCCTCTGTGTATGGAGAAAAGCACTACAAAAATATAACCTTATAATTTTTGCCGTTGCTTTGCCACCTATTTACTTTTTAAAGGCCTCAGATAATGTATAAAGAAGGCTTCAGTAAATGAGAGAAATAGAATGTGAAGGAATACAGCCATTATTATAGTCAAATAATGAG